TTAATCTTGAATTTGCACATTTTGCGTGAGAACTGGAAACATTTTTAAAATGATATTCGACATCAGAAAGTACGCAATTTAAGGCTCTATCTCCAGGTAAAAACTAGAATTTCTTAACTCAATCGGTTCTCTAAATACGACTCAGCGAATAAGAGCGATTCTGAAGACTCGCATTAATCTTGAATTTGCACATTTTCCGTGAAACTAGAAACAATTTTACATTCATATTTGCCCTGAAAACGTACTCAATTTAAGGCTCTATCTCTAAGTAAAAATTAGAATTTCTTAACTCAATTGGTTCTCTAAATACGAGTCAGCCAATAAGAGCGATTCTGAAGACTCGCATTAATCTTGAATTTTCACATTTTGCGTGAGAACTAGAAACATTTTTGCAATGTTATTTGACGTAAGAATGTACGCAATTTACGGCTCTATCTCAAAATAAGAAGATATATTTCGTCTCTCAATCGGTTCTCTAAATACGAGTCAGCAAATATGAGCGATTCTGAAGACTCCCATTCATCTAGAATTTTGCGTGAAAAGTAGAAACATTTTTACAATAATATTTCACATAAGAAAGTACGCAATTGAAGGCTCTATCTCCATATGAAAACTAGAATTTCATAAGTCAATCGGTTCTTTAAATATGAGTCAACGAGCAAGTGCGGTTCTGAAGACACGCATTAATCTTGAATTATCGAGTTCTGTGTAAAAACTAGACATATTTTTGGAATGATATTTGGTATAAAAGATTGCTCCTTAAGCGGACCCAAAATCGAAATCCGGTCTGAAAAAAAGTTCTGCTGATGTCGATTGGAACAGTGCTTGATTGGGCGAACCTCAAAACATGGAAGCCTCGATCTTCGATTTGAATTACTTGGGTAAACGATTGAAAACCGTTGACCAATTCTAGGGACTTTTTCAGTTCGAAATCGTCTTCGATTTAATCACATTTCCCATAGGTTTTTCAATAATAAAATATGACCTGAATGATTGGCTGCAGTTTCACTCTGTGAACCGGGATGGCGATTCAAGAAAACACTTCCCTAAGGCTTATTGAGGGTGCGGACTGGAGTCGAATTCTCACAAGCACACTCCCAGCGCTATATTAAATGTCATGGAAATATAGAACGTTTCATTTGGCCCGAGCATACAACATGCGGATATTATAATCCGGAATGACGCGCCGTGCAAATAGAATTTGGATGAAACTGCCATGCTCCCAGTTTCCGATATTTCGAATCCTGTATGCATTCCCATTTAACTAGTTAATGGCATTTTCTGGACATAGTGGAGAGTTTTTATTTTTCATTTTTCCCCCCATTGTTGACCAAACCTGAGCCACTTAAACCGGCCGCCCAATCCCTTGTCAATGTGCGTCATTTCCTTTATCATTTTTGCTCTGCCCCTCTGTCCTGAAGGCGCCCGTAAAACTTCGTCCCCACTGCCCATAAAGGAATATTCGAGTCAAAAGTTTGCTTGTTTTACTACGAAAATAAAACTCAATTTCTGTACGTGACTGGGCCGGAAGCGGATGACCGGACGAGGGAAAACGGCGGAAAACATGATAATGAACCGAATGACGCAACAGGGATAAATTACCTTTATATTGAATATGTGGGGAGGGTTGTCAGCACCAACATCCATAAAAAGTCGCTCCTTTCCGTCACTTGCCCTATTAGCGTGCTCTGCCTCTAATTGGAATCTGAGCTTTCGAGTGGGCCGTGACTTTAATACATTCACTTTGAGATGAAGTCAAGGCGGCGATGTTTCATGAATTAATCGGGAAATCACGTCAGCATTCCCGTTAATTCCAGCGCTATTTGGAAGATCATTTCAAAGTCGGTCAAGTTGATATTGAGGCACTGATGCAACAGAGCAAAAGTACCAGAACTCTATGAGCAAAGTGCTAAAGGCGCTGCTTTCCCACACGGCCCTTAATGGAAGGAAACAAGCCGGCTCGATTTCACATCTTCTTTTGCATGAAGTATCGCACTGTTCATTATCCAGTTTCCTGACATGCCGCCTTCATCCGCTGCGCCACTTCTATTCGGGTCACGTACGAAAATTCAATTTTATTTTCATAGGGCGAAACAAGGGGAGAGGCTCCTGGTATGGAGAACACAGCCGCCCTTAGGAGAACTTCAATGTGCGGTCAACGTGATTTGGAAATGAACACTTTTCTTATCAGATGGTGAGCCGATGCCATCCTTAAAAACTAGGTTTTGCTGTCTCCCCTTAAGTCTTCACAGATCCTTTCAAGGAGAAACTTTCATTCTATATAGAAGAATATTCAAAGCGCTAAGTTCTCAGGACTATGAAAGTTTCTGCAAAAATGTCCAACGATTCCTCCTGAGAGAAACCTTCACTATGTTTTCAGTGTCCAAAGTATCAAACATTTTCTATAATCAACTGACAAGAGGCTAGGGAAAGTTTGTCCGAATGCCAAGGAAAGTTACTTCAATGCCATAGTTTCCCTAAAAGTCTTCAACTCTCTTCTCTTCCATTCAAAGAGCGATTATGCACGTTTTCCGTATTCCATTGACATTAAAAGATGGAATTGATCAAAATTCTCAGTTATTTGAAGGCGTCCAATTTCTCTTTTTATAAGATTGATTTCTTCCCAATATGTTCAACGAAAAACGCAACTGCAAATTGGAATAGCAGTGAAGATCAAAAATTAAAGAGAAATTACTTAAATTCTACATTTTCTTCAAAAAGTTTCAACTAATCTTCCTGAGCGAAACCACAACTCAATATAAAAGAAACTTGGCTCTATTAAAAGAGCGATTATGCAGGTTTTCAACTAGCGCAAATCTTCTTTAGTCAACTGAGAACGAAAGCTGGATAAAGTTATCCGCAATCCATAAGCAAGTCAGGAATGCTCCAGATATTCTCCAAAAGCCCCCAAGAAATTTTTCAAAGGAAAACATTTACTTTACATAGAAGAAACTTAAACCTCCAAAAGTCCTGTGAAAATAACCCAGAAAATTTCGACACCATAGCAAAATAGAGACGCTGATCCACCACTTCCACACCGAGACTGCAAAACCCCAGAACCAGCAAGAATTCCCTACTCAACAGGTTTTTGCCTGTTACCCCATTAGAGAGCGTCGAAAAAGGGGTATCAACTGCAAAGACATCGCTAAAAGCCTGATAATGACTGCAAATTTCCAGTCTTTTAGAGCCGACTTCTAGGCATAGAGGCAAATAATTGAGTCTTGTCTAATTTACTCTCATTAAGTTCTCCAGCTGTCTTTGCCGAGTTGGCTGCCTTTGTCTCCTAACTGGATACTTTGCCCCATTTGGAAACGCGCTCTCAATTGAATAATTTCCTTCGGAGTTTTTCTCATTGCAAAACTGTGAAATAGAAAAATGACTTTGGGCAAAGTGCAAACTCGCGATTTAATGCAAAGGTTTAGATTATTAGAGCGCCTCGAAGTGCTAATTCAGAATGAGGGACGTTAATAGAGCGGAGAATGCTTCAAGATTTTGTGAGAAAAACTCGACCGGTTATCTAAAATGTTCGCAGCGCAACAGAATGGTCTGATCCTGTTCCCGACCACGTGGTCTGGAACAGTCACATGTGTGCGGTCCCTACAAATTCAGCCACTAAGCGGGAACCTACCTGTTTCGAGCACCACGAGAACCGCGAACCATCCGGCTAACGCTTTCATGCTCCTGCTGGCTTCCCCTTCATGTCTTTATATCACGGCCGAAAGCGCGAACTGCATTCCCGTCTGGATGCCTGACGTCACGGGATTCGCAGACCGACTGGATCCTGCGAGGAAGAGTCCTGCCGAGGCCGGTCGACGGATCAGGATCCGAGCAGGACCGCATCCAGAAGCAAACCTGCTAAACCGAAAAAAACATGTTGATTCATTCATTAAACACCAACAAGTGCTTTTTGTTGATTGAGTTGATTGAATGGCTAAAAGTGAAAATTATTCGGTTATGGTTTATAGCAAACTCGCAATAGTTTCGACAGAAAACTCGAAGATTTTGAGAATGCTAATCGCTGCTAATTCCTGTGCTAAACTGCTCAACAAACTTAAAAAATTCCAAAAAATTAGTCATTTGTCGGTGTAACGTATATTTTGTTGAGCAGTTTAGTAGAAAAATCACGTCTTTATCCTGATTATTCACTTATTTCTAATGCAGTCGAATTTAATTCAAAACTGGCGAATATAATTTGCATAAGTTCAGTTTCCTGACTGATATCGAATATCGGAAACCCTTCGGCCTTCTTATAGTCAAACAATTAGCACCCTGCGGAAGTCGAGTTTTCCGAAAGCTTGGTAGCTAAAAAAGTTTTCATTTTCTTCACCACTGCCCAGACCGAATTCCCAAGAAAAATCAACAATCCTGCAAAGATAATTTGCGTTAATAACTGATAAACTTTAAGCTGCAAGTGCATCAAGTTGGAACGAAGCATCGCACATGGCTTGGGCATGTCGCATGGTCTCCCATGTGTGCGAGTGGGATAACCGATGCGAGCTACGTTCTGGAATGGGATATACAGTTTCGTTTAATCAAATTTGAAAAAAAATGTGATGCTCCAGCAAACATATCTCTGAAGATACTAGCAAGGTGCTAGAGAAACGTTACGTAAAATTAAAAAAACTTGATAGTTTTATGGAAAATTTCCATAAAAACGCGTACAATCATGAGCTGACTGTGTGGTCCAGCTCTGTATGCGCGAGTTGGCTCACAGGAACAGGCAGGAGGCTGAGCAGGTGTTTGTTGGGGTAGGATGATGGGGACAAAAGGAGAAGGAAAGAATAAGCGCGCACCTAGGATAAGTGATTAGATAAGATGCAACTCCTTGCCATGTAAATAGACATATAAAATCGTCCCTTTGGGGTCCTCAAGAGGGGCATTTCTTTTCTTTCAGCCAACCGGGGAATAGGAGAGGCAGCAATGATGATACAGAGGATTTATCGGGCATTTGCGCTGGAACTGTTATACTCGAGTTTTTTGCTTTTATTAATCCAACACGCTCCAGTCAAAAATCGCATTGTAAAGAGACAGTAAATTGCTGGCCTGGATGAGCTGCAATCCAGTTGAATGACATCCGCATTGCAGATTTATCCAGACATTTTACAGTTATGAAAGCCAATCTCCTGGACCTCCGACCGCCAGAAACTGTCTTTGAGCGCCGCAAAGTTCCTAGTCTAGCGAGTTTCCAGAAGTGGAATTAGTCAAAGTTAAGCACTGGTGCAAACTGTTACAAGCCACCAGAGCTTAATTACACGTTCGATTTGGGCCAATTGCAAACGCGTTTCTATGGCAACTATGTATGCTTGTTCACTCCCCGCCAGGCCTGAGTAACACTGTGTTGAGTTGCGCTTTTGAGTTGTTGCCGCTCTCTGAGTTAATGAGCTATAACTCATGACCGATGACGGAATTTTAACATCTAACAAAAAAAGCCATCAACATATTGCTTTTGCGCATGTGATTGGTCTAAAACAATAAAATTCAGAAATTTTGAAAAAATTTCAGAGCGATGAGAGTGACGAGTTTCCCATATATTGATTATAGGCTTTTGCGTTCTCTATTCGTTTTTTGAGAAAACCTAAATTTTGTCGAAAAAAAACAAGATAACTGTCCCAAATTCAAAGGTAAAACGGGTATTCGAAAAAGACTATAAAGAAGACGAAACGGTAAAGCCGACGACTTCTTGAAAATCCTTCTTTTAACTTTTTTGCAAACTTTTGCTTTCTGACCGTTTTTTTCAAGATATATATATCTTAATTGCATTCGGTAAAAAATTGAATAAAATTATTTGGTTTTTGTGCCAAATTCAAAGCTGAAAGGGGTTTTCTTAAGTTCGTAGCAAAATTAATTTTGTCATTTTTGGCTGAAAGGACCCCATTGGCAGATAAGAAAACGTTCACCAGAAAATAATGTTTTTTTGCGTTTTTGATTAAAAACTTTTAGTTTTGTGATCGGTTTTTGAGAAAGTCTTAATGATTTTCGGGAAAAATCGGGAGAAATTTATTTTCGTTTTTGTCCCGAATTCGACGCTGAAGAAGGGTTTTGTAAAATTCCTACAATCCTATAGATTTATATTGTAATTTTTCAAGTAAAAGACCTCCAGATCGTGAGTAGTTTTAAGTGCAACTCTACAAAATGGACCGTTTTTGAGTAGAAAGTAAAGCAAGAAAAATCTGTCAAGACTAAAAAACTTTTTTTTAACTAACTACCGTCGTCAGAGGAATGGAAGTGATGAGTTTTCCAAATAATTCATTATAAACTTTCAATTATTCAGTTCGTTTTTTGGTAGAACATTATTTGATTTTTGTTCCAAATTGGAAGCTGGAAAGGGATTTCAAAACTCTTTACAAAGCGACGAAGGATTCGAAATTTATTTCATAATTTTTCGCGAAAAATACCTTAAAACTGTCTGTATATTTAAGTGTTTTTTTTTTGAAAATGCTAAAACTGGAAAATTCTGAAGAAATGTTAACAATTATTGAAAAATGGCCGTTAAAATCAATCTAAAAACAAGTAAAAAAGTCATCAACATTTTCGCAGCAACGGAACTGAGTTACTGCGCCAGTGCGTTGGGTTGGCGCACCAAGCCATTTGCGTAGCACTGCGCCAACTCCTAGAACTTCATTGAGTTACCCAGGCCTGCTCCCCGCTAGTTGGGACCGCACTATTTGCACCAATGGCCCTGTTTTATCAGCGTTTTTCAAATATAATCTTTCAAATCCAAAATGTTTGATTGATCCTCTCCAAATGTCTTTGCTCAATGTCCTGGGCCCATCCAGCTGCAGGCATTTATGGACACATTCTACGCTAAAAAGGCAACTTAAACGATTTTTTGAGGGCTGAAAGGGCGAACGACTGAGGAAAGTTCAAAGGGTCAACCCACCCTCCGGTGTCTCATCAGTAATCAGTTCGAACTAAATGAATTATGCAGAGATGAAAATCAATTTTGCTTTAATTTCGCTGACCCACTTGATCAGGCTTAGGATGCTGAGACCGTGCAGGGGCGTGCGGAACTTGCAACTTGCATAGCAAAATGAAGGAGTAAATCAATTGGAGTGCTGCTTAGGTGCGTTTGCTTCTAACTTAACGGATTATTTAGGGCGAGAAGCAACAATGTGCGCTTAGTGGCGCCCTAAAAGTGCACTAAATTTTCGGGGAATTTTGCCTGTCAGCGCCCTAATGAAAATTCCCCACTGAGCCAACATGTTTACGAGGGCGTTTTACATTTTAGTTTGATTTACTACACCCATTTGACGGTAACGGTGTGATGGTGTTCTTCATCTGTTAAGCCTACATGAAACATGAAAGGAACAGGAACGGAAAAAATTGGGCTTTTCGCCTATTTAGCTTCCAGACACTAAGGGATTTCACTGCTAATTTCACAAAAAAACTTGTAGGCTGTGGTTAGTCGAAAAATTTAATTTTCCCAAACCTTCAAATCGCTTAATGTCGCTGAGCCAAATAGGCGGAAATAGATTTTAAGCAATTTCCTTCTCCGGTAGCTTTTCAGCGGCCGATTTGCCTGCGGATTAGATGCTAGGAATGTCCTGAGTCGATGAAAATTGAGATAACTATTAAACAGGAAAAATTTGAGCTATTCTTCGCCGCAAAGAACCAAAGAAAATTGAAAGCATGCAGCTGCAAAAAGCCCCACAGGTTCATGGTTGGTAAATTGAAAAAAAAACTGCAAACATTGTAAAATCGATTCGTGCCCATGCTTACACCGAATATATGATAGCTGAGATGAAAGCTAGGTCAATGACGTAACGTAGCCGTTGCTATGACAGTGCTGAGGACGCGTAGTACTCGATGGGCGGAGCAGCCACGCGCCCCATTCAGAATGCACTTGCAGGACCTGACTAGACCGGCAGAAAATACATTTCCAGGTTTCGTTAATTGAAACTTACTAACCCGCAAAATAGTCCAATTTGCTCAATTTTTCCACGAATCGATAAAACGGTTTTTTCGATTACTTATTTCGCAATTATTGAAGAAAAAAATCAAATCAAATTCAATTCAAAAAGTTATGAGCTCATAAAACTGCAGTTTTATAACCGATTTAGTGGCCAGTGAATGGCCAGATTGATTCGACTGTGGCCAAACAATGATGGCGATTTATCTCGGAATTGTGGTGGCTCTATTTGCTTATGAGGTGGCAGGTGAGTTTACAATCCTTCCCTACAAGTGAAACTGTTCGGAACGCTTGGTGCAAACAGTCTGCGCCCAACTAGGTTTCCGTGGAAATGGGCCTGTTTACTTGCTGCGATTGGCCGCCATTTTGCCCGAATAGGGACACAGACCGTCTGCATAAATGCCAAATTAAGCCTCTTTTTTTTTTGTTTAGCCGGTGCTTCAAATGCCCGTTTCTACATCAGCGACGATAAGATGCCTTATTTCACCGCTGTGCATATTTGCCAGTCCCTCAACATGCGCCTACTTCGTCCTGAATCCGGCTTGGACACTGTTTTCACATCCACTGTGTTCCCTGAAGCTGTGGACTTTGCACTGAGTAGGTGCCCATCTGAACCAGTGTTGTCAGTTTGCTAAAATTGTCGGCGACTTTTGGGGTTTTTCAGACGAAGCTGACGAGTTTGGCGAAATGCGCATGCAGTTCTGGTACCTAACCAGCCCAGAGCCAGGCCCTCAATCCCTGTGCAACCAGGTAAAAAGCGCATAAAACATGCAAGGCTTCCTCAATTGAACTTGGCTATTTAGATCAGCGTGCTGTATAGCAATGGGGAAAGAACCCTGCAAACTGACCAGGACTTGTGCTTGGAACCCAAGCAGTTCATCTGCGAGCGTCCCGGTCTAAGTAGAGCCCTTGTGAGCAACTGTAAGTACCAGAAAGTGCTGCGGAGGCTGGTTTGAACCATGTAGCTGACCAGTTGCAGTTTCTTCTGAACTTCCACTCAGCTTCATGGAGGCGGCTAAAGCGTGCGGGGTACATAATAGTTACCTGGCATATGTGCGCAGCGAGCTGGAGAACCGGGAGCTGACTCAGCAGATTAAGAGCACAACAGGTAAAGAGTATACAGGGGTCTCACAGTCAGCGTCCACTAGAATATTTCGAGAAGTAATGCATTTTGAATCCCGCAAATTTGGATATTGGGATTTTCGGAGACGCTCTTTTCAAATGAAAGAACAGCCGAATTATGCGACTTCCGGTTATATCAGTTGTCTCAAGCCTACTTATTTTAAACGAAACACGCAAATGCATGTGTGCTTGAGCGAACGCAATTGGCTTACAACATCAATTTTAGTCACATTTAAAAGCCGGCAAAAATCAGGTTTCAGATGGATTTTTCTGAAACTTTCCAAGTCTATAAGGTCAAGAGTCTACTAAAGATGGTAAAACATGCAACTCCCAGCTTGCTTTAGTCTGGTAGATATGCATTTTTAAGTAAGCCAGCGCAAATAACTTTTTTTCAAAAACTCAGGTTCACGACTTGCGTACAATTTTCAACAAAATATTTCGATTTTCTCCTCCAAAAATGCATTATTAGCGCTCAAATGCATCTAAAGTTTGCCCAAAGCATAACCATTCCGAATATTTTTCGGCGTTTAAATGCATCTGGCGTTTATATAAAGTGTGAAAATTCAAAATATTTTTGGCTTAAAAATTGGATATCCGGCCTTCAAACCCTCATAACTTTTCATTTTTCTAACCGAGTTTGGTTTCCTCAACCGTAATTTTTAGGGAACATCGACGTTTTAATTTGTTTAAAGAAAGTGCGATTTTCGTGCCTGAAAAGGCTTGTTTGGCCCCGAAAATCCATCTCAAGTTTGCCTAAAGCGTAAAATAGAATTTTTTTGGTCGACCAAATCGTAATAAATCTTACGTTTCTTAACCGATTAAAATTGCCTAAAAATCCGGTTTGACAGAAGAAAGTGCTCTTTACAACCCGGTCTTGAGGATCCAAATGGGGTATATACAGGGTGGTTTTTCAGTGCGATAGACTCCATTATTTCCGATGGTGTTGAACTTTTGAAAAATAGTTTCATATAAAAATTGATGGCGCACAAAGTACGCACATTTTAAAAATATCTTATATGATGCAGAGTGTATCAGAAAAGCGAGGCAAGATCAAAGTGTTTTTTTTTAAATAGAACTACCCATTTTTTATTAGCTAATGGAATGCAGCTTGAAACGCACCGTAAATTGTTTTTTTATTACTTGCGAACGGTTGATCTCACAGCTTCAAGTGTAAATGCGAATTTCTAACTTTGTAAATTGTCTATCTAATGACGTATTAATATACAGGTACTTCCATTTGAAAAACAAAAGTTTTACTGCATTAAAAAGTTTTAGATTGAAGTCCACAGTGTTAACACCCTGTACAATGTATTGATATTTTGGTTCAATAGAATTTTTAACGGATCTGTGGTGATTGGAAAGACGTATTTTTCATCTTTGACTGCTTTTTTTTGCTTCTTCAAATAATTTTTAGATACGATGTTTTTAAGCAAAATTTTACTAAAATGGCGATAATCTGCCAACGTCGCAAGTAAGAAAAAAACCATTTACGGTGCATATGCAGCGTTTCAAGCTACATTCCATGAGCTAATGAAAAATGGGTAGTTCTATTTAAAAAATGCATTTTGATCTTGCCTCGCTTTTCTGAGACACTCTGTATCATATAAGATATTTTTAAAATGTGCGCACTTCGTGCGTCAATTTTTATATGAAACTATGTTTCGAAAGTTCAACACCATCGGAAATAATGGCTCTCTTGCACTAAAAACCACCCTGTATATCGCCGAATAAATATTGAGAGCGCCCAAAAACGGCTGAAAATCAACCAAAAATGTCGATTATTTCAGATCTGAGTCTTCCAGTGCTTTCCAAAATGATGCAGAAATCGAAGCATTCGATGCAAATTGAGATTTTTTGATAAAGCCGACCCTCACTCTAATGAAATTTTCAAAAAGTTGATATTTTACCTGCGTGTTTTTTAAGCTCAATGGATTGCTTTGGACTTCAGAAACTCTTCAATTTGCATATTTAAGGTGTCTGAAGCTATAATAAGGAAAATTTCGTCGCTTCAAGATTGCGAAGGTTCAAAAAGTGCCCAAGATGAGCGGAAAATGTTGAATATTTTGGATTTGAAAAGTCCACACTGGTTTTTTAATCATTTCGTTGGATTCCTCGTTTCCTTCAGATAAAAATTATTTTCAATGCGGAGCCTTCGAAGCAAATTGAACTTATTGAAAAAATCGAGCCTCACACTTATGCGTTTTTCGATCAAAAGTTAAAATTTCATGACCTTGTTTTTTAGCACAACGGATTGCTTTCCACTTAAGAAACTCCCTAATTTGCATATTTAAGGTGTGTGAAGCTATAATAAGGAAAATAGCGTCGGTTCAAGATTGCGAAGGTTCAAAAAGTGCCCAAGATGAGCGGATAATGTTGATTATTTCGGATTTGAAAAGTCCACACTGGTTTTTTAATCATTTCGTTGTATTCTTCGCTTCCTTCAGATAAAAATTATTTTCAATTCGGAGCCTTCGAAGCAAATTGAAATTTTTGGAAAAATCGAGCCCCACACTTATGCATTTTTCCTTGTTTTTTAGCACAACGGATTGCTTTCCACTTAAAAAACTCCCTAATTTGCATATTTAAAGTGTGTGAATCTATAATTAGGAAAATATCGTCGGTTTAAGATCGCGAATGTTGAAAAAGTGGCTAAATGAGTGGAAATCTCGATTCTTTCGGATCTGARGGTTCAGTGTGTTTTTCCATGAGTTCGTTGGATTTCTCGCTTCCTTGAGATAAAAATGTATAAAATTCAAAGCATTATGCCAAAAAGTTTTTTTTYATCGATTGCCACCCTTAGAAATCACACAAAAGGGCCTRAATTTGCACATATGAAGTTGAGAAATGRGTACACCAAAAACATCCACAGCTTTTTTTCCAACTATACGGGTTTTCGACCTCTAAAGCCCTAGAATTTTGTTAACAATGCCAACATTGATATTATGTTGCTTTCGCTGAATTTCAATTGTCCACCTGAGCGCAGTATTAAGAGAAATACGCGAAAAATTGTTACTAAAGCAAAATCTAACTTTTAACTAACTAAGTTTTTATCAAAAATCCTTCAAAAACCGCTTCAAAATTCGCTGTTATTTCATCTGAAAAGAGCGTCTCCGAAAATGCCATTATCCAAACTTGCAGGATGCAAATCGCATTACTTCCCGAAATATGCCAATAAACGCTGACCTTGAGACACCCTGTATAATATTGCGCTGAGGCGAGTACGTATAGTCCGTCCCAAACTATTTGGCAGTGACGTCATTATTTGAGACTCCATAGTGAAACTTACTCATTTGAGCAAAGGTCAAACATTCCATGAACATTGCAGATGCACAAAAGAGGCTCTTCTGGCTAGGGGGCGTCCACATCAAATCCAACCGCGACTTCCGATGGTTCCCTTCGAATAAGTACCTGGTTTACGCCAACTGGAAACATAATCGGACGCCCCCTAAAGGCGCTGGTTGCATTGCGGTAACGAAATTGCAAAAGTCCTCAATGGGAAAATTTTAGAAAACCTGATACTTTTCCAGATGGCCTTCGGCCAGGCGGACGTTTCGTCCCCTTGGGTTGGCCTGCCTTGCAACACTGAGCTTCCGTTTGTATGCCGCAGCGCTCCTCCAAAAAAAACCTCCCTGCAAGTCTGGATCCCCAATCCAGAAAAGACGAGCGATGCCATGAGGGCCCTGTTGGGGGCCGAAACGCGTAAGTTCATCAACTGATCATATCGCTTCCGCTCACTTGCTCCATTTGCGTTTCCAGAGAACTGGCTAAGGCAGACCATCCATGGACTATTTCATGGATCTTCATAGATTCTACCGATATGTTTGCTTGAGTTGAATCAACATTAAATTGAACTTCCACTGATGTTACTCAACTATTTAACTAATGGAAATTTCAGATCAAGTGGCTGCGACCCACATTCCACACGCCGATGTTTGCCGCGCAAACACTTCGATTAATGAAGTCTAAAACAATTTTAGACCTATTTTCCTATGCGGTCCACCCAAATGCAATCACGGCGCCCGAAATCTTATTGTCTTCTGTTTGCTAAGACTATCGACTTAACATGGCAGATAACAGGATTTTACATTTAATCATTATCGCTAACAAAGAGCTGAAATATTGTTGAATCATGTACCATTCAGTCTGCTAGTAAAGTTGTTGTTGAGTGGAAGATTTGAAAAAAAATGGGAGCCCAACTGCATGACCAAACTTTTGAACTGGAAGCTCCAGACGGCGGTTGGGGGTATGTGGTGGTTGCCGCCACTGTAGTGATTTTTGTAAGTTTTTCCAAAATATCCACAGCATATTACGTGCAAAGTCTAGGGAATCAACTAGGCAAGTAAACCGGCTAAGCTTGACAAACTTGACGGGGGACTTTGACTGCAACAATTGGGAACTTGAACATTTTTTTATGTCTTTAATGTATTTGCCTATCTATAGAAATCGCGCATACCTAATATTAGCCCTCAATAAACAATTAAAGTTGTGATTGCAGGCTATTCATTTGAAACGACACTAAACGCGCGGGAATCGTCATGACGTCATAGCGCTAGTTCGTTCGATCGGAAGGCAACACGGGATTACGGCTTGTCGTTGAATTGTCTGAGTGTTTGACTGTTCCGGCGTTTAAAATGGTTAAAGGCATTATAGTGATAATAAATAATAACCTCAAAAACAGTTATTTGCTATGCTAGACGATAAAAAGAAACAATAAGTATCTGCGAAGAAAAAATCTCGTTTTATCGTCATGTATTTGCGCTAAATACCTACTATTTTTGTCATGCAATATGAGTGTTAATACATATTTTTATGTAACTTTAATATTATTTATTTATTCTAGCTGGAAAAAGACATTATATTTTGATCAATAGGTACTGTTTGAATTTTGAATATTAGAGCCATTAAAACCCCCATCTAACATTTTATCGATTTATATAAGTAAAACTATAGACTATTTTCTCTATAAATCTACCTGTTAGCTTTAACACGGCGAACTGCAGCAAGAGTAAAACTTTAGGTGTTTTTAATGTGCCACCATAAACATATCCACTAGTGGTAAAATGTCAGATTGTCGCGTCTGTCATTTTCAAAGATTTTCTTTTTCTCATAATACACTATAGAAACGTTTTAACGACAAAATCAAGACTGATGTTACATGTTTACACGCTCCGCATTGCAGCCGCCACGACCGACTAACTACTTGACGTCACAACTGGTCCCAGCCAATGACGGCGCGTTACAAGAATGATTTGAATTATACAGTTTTTAACTGCTTATATTATTTACATAGAAATAAAAAATGGGTTTTTTGGTAAACTGCGGTGATTTTAATAGTATTAAGTTACGTTTGCGAGTAACATTTTTCAAATTTAAATTTTGTGCAAGTTCCCAAATTAAATGACGGTGCTTTCATGGAAATTCGGGGAAATTTTGCAAAATCTGGAACGCAGCGTTTTGATTTTTTGCGCCAATACACAGTAAAAAGGGGGAGTTAGTGTTTAGAAATTGGCGTTTTAGAGGTGAAAAGCTAGAATGAAGTCAAAAAAGTTGGGGATTGGAAATTTACGGGTTGCCTGTGCGATTGGTGCCTATGGGGATGTTGCCATTGATGGTGATATACTAAAATTTCTAGAGCGTTACTGTAATGCCAACCGCAGCCTTTGGTTTGGTTTATGGCGATTTCCTGAAATCCATCGGCGATGAAACCACTGGAACCACCTTGAGCAATGGGATATTCTCCACAGTCTATTCATTCACTGGTAGCAGCTGCCTAAAATGTCTACAAACCCGCAAAACTTTTTTTTTTCTTCAGGCCTGTTGGCTAATGGGCTGCTTGGCCGTTACTCCTACAGGACCGTAGGTCTGATTGGCAGCATCGCCTTCATCCAGGGGGCCGTTGGCCTGATTTTCAGCCAGACCTTGTTCCAGTTGATCATCTGCTATGGGCTGATACAAGGCAAGTGGGTGGAACTACGTGAGTGATAAATGAAAGCCCAAATGTCTGGAATTGGCAGGTTTGGGTTTCGGCCTACTGATGCCTTCATCATTGTCCGCTTTCAATGCCTACTTCGATAAGCGCATGGCTGTGATGATGAGCATCTGCCAAGCGCTGATGATCGCTTTCAGCATGGGCGTGCCCCAACTGGCTGCTTGGAGTATGGTGACGTTTGGATTTCGGTAGGGAACCTCCTTCGGCTATGGAAAAGAGATTTTTTCTGGATTTTTCAGGGGTACCTTGCTGGGGCTTGCAGTGCTCAGCTGCTTGAGCCTCCCAGCCGTTGCCAGCCTGCAGTCAGTGGAGAAGCACTTGAGAAAAGTGGCGCTGCAAATGGGCAGCGAGTCGAAGCTTGCAAAAAAATCCGTGTCCATTGATATGCCGCTCCAAAGCCCGCAGGAGAAGCCTCTGATGCCGCTAGGCGGTAGCTTGAGGAGCCTGCAGCAGCATCAAGGAAGGCGGCGCATGTCCATGTTGTCTTTGGGGGATCGAGTAGCTTCGGTTATCTCCATCCATCAGGATATAAGCAAGGAGGAGGTCGAGGAGGAGGTGGCTTTAACCTTTTGGTGAGCCGGGGCGTCGGAACTCAAGCAGGGAAAAGTTTAATTCGTTACCCTACAGGCAATCCTTCAAGAAATCCATGGACATGTCCCTGCTGAAGGACGCCAAGTACTTGAATATCAGCATAGGCCTTGCCCTGGCCTTTACGGCCGACATGGCCTTCATTTCCATCATGCCTCTGATGCTGGGCAATATTGGGTTTCAACCTCAGGACATCGCCTCTATGATGGCGGTTTTCTTCGGCTCAGACCTGCTTTCCAGAATTCTGTTGACCATCATGTCCAGCGTGGTGCGGTTCAAAAGCCGCCATCTGATACTCTTCACTTCCATCCTCATAGCTTTATCCAGAACTGGTAACCCTCCATCTGGCCTGCCATTGCATCCATTGATCTTTTCTGTTTAAGCTTTCGTTCTCAATGACTCCTATATGTGGAAAGTGGTGTTCCTGGGCATTTTGGGCTTTCTGCGCTGTTTCATCCAGACGCCGTTGCCCTTGGTGTTCTCCGAAGAGTATCAGGATCGATTCCCCACCGCCTACTCGCTGTTTATGGCCCTCAATGGGGTTGTGAGCTTGATTTGTGGGCCTTTAATGAGTGAGTTTGGGGAGACGGTTTGAGGGAGTTGAAGCAATTTTTGTCCGTTCTAGGTCTGGTAAAGTCGCTTACCAAAAGCGATGTGATGGTGTGCCACGTGCTTACCATGGCCTACATCATTTGCGTGCTGGCCTGGACCTTTGAGATGACCTTTTGCCGCGCAAAATCCACGACTAAGCAGCCCAAATGAGTATGGGATTATGGATATTCATGCAATATAATTTGGAAAATTCGCACTCAATCAATATCACTCCCAAATCCACCAGACGCGCCTGCTAATTACTTCCCGAAGTAATTCGAAGTGAGGACAAGCCCGAAGTTCCGAAATTGGTTTTTTGGGTGGAATAACTTTTTCCTGTTCCCAATTAGACCGTAAAATGTGAGGGCACCTGCCTGGCTAATCCCGATTTGTATTCCGAGGAAAAGGAACAAAAGCGCCACTTGATGATTGCACTCATCGGCTTCTTTTATCTGCCGAAGAGCAAATCGGGAATAAGTCCTCGAGTGCAGTCAAGATGCGATAAGGGCGCCAGCTTTTAAAGGGCGCATTTCCTGTCGATTTTTTCCCTTTTGCCGACATTGTATATTGCGCAACTTCGCCAATAATTCCCAACTCGCTAAATTTCAATACAGTTTCCTGTTTGCTGGTCAAACGGCGGCGCTTTGCCAGGAAATGAGCCTGGAACCGTCACGACGAGCGATGCGAAACTTTACAGAAACTTTCGGGTTTCGGTCCGCATACATACATACAATTCGTTGCATGGAAAAGTCGGCGGGTTTTAGAGAAAATGGACGAATCATAGTCTCAACAAACCCTTGGATTTGGGCTTAGTTAACTTGGAACGTTCATTGCTATTATCCAGAGGGTCCAGACAATCTGCATTTAACTGGGCAATACAGCTTATAATCTTTTTGATAGGGCGAATATTCTAACCAATAAACAATAAAGAGATGGAAGTACAAACATCTTAGAAGCGATTAAAAATACTTTTACGAAAAGATAACTACATGAAGAGCAGACTTCTACAAATGTCGTTTAACCAGAAACTCCTATCCTAGAAAGAGGTAGAAGCAAAAATATTGAATATTTCTCTTAATATCTGCCGTAGCCGTGGAACCCTCTTACGTAATCATTAGAGGTTATTTAATAGAGAATATTAAGTTTTCTACCAATTCAATTTACTCGGTAATTCCCAACTTATAAAAGATAGACGTAAAACCAAAGCTTGTAAAACTTTGCATTTACTGGAGCCAAAGCATTCATTAAGAAAACATCATCTTAAGAAAAATTGCTCTTGTCGTTGATGCGCAAACAACGTAAAGAATCTTTTGGCAAATGCGCTTTCCATCTTTCCTTTTGGCATCTGCACGCTTAGCGCACCATATTCCATAAAAATAAATAAAAGTTTCGCAAAACTCCACTCGAAAGCGTTGTAAAACAGCGAAATGAAAAAAGTTCCCTCACGCTTCACCACTTTGGAAAATTATTTCCCTTTGCCTTCGCGCCGATTCCATCCAGATTCGATCAATGGAAACTCTCGTGTGCGGTCATTAAAACATCCACGATTTTGCAAACTTTTTCAAATTCCCCACTTCCACTGGTCATAAAGGGCTTTGCCAACTACAAAGTTATGACTTTGGTAAATCATCTAAGCGGCACATGAACTACGAAAATCAACACTTGCCAGGCTCAAAACAAACAGCCAGTATATTAAAGAGCGATTAACTTTGTGTTTACCATTCCTTTGTAATATCATAGGCCTTAGATAACTGCGATAATGGCCTACATTAATTGTTATTGTTTCAACTGTACTACTGCTAATCCAGTGAGCTCAAATCTGGTAAGAATGGAGGCCACCAAGAAGACGGGCGCCGAAGAGGAAAATTACGAGTTGGTGCCTCCGGATGGGGGCTGGGGGTATGTGGTGGCAGCTGCCATGGTGGTGATTTTTGTAAGTAAACTTCCCAAACTTACTTTCTTCCATTGACCGCGTTTGGTTTTGCAGAATGTTACAATTTTGCCCATATCAGCCTTTGGGTTGATTTATGGGGAGTTCCTGCGGAACTTGGGCGATGAAACCACCGGCATAACAGTGAGCAATGGGGTTTTCAACATCGTAAGCTCGTTCACTGGTAAGGTTTCCCGTCAAATCTCTCAAACCCTCAAACTTCCTTTACTAACTAGGAATCATTGCCAGCGGCCTTCTGAGCCAATTCTCCTACCGGAGGATCGCAGTCATTGGCTGTGTACTTTTTGTTCTGGGCGCATCCAGCATCATTTTCCTCCAAAACCTCCTGCAGATGATCATCTTATTCGGGGTGATTCAGGGTATTCAAGTCCAGCCCTTTTTAGGTCACGAGAATTTCATCGATTCCCCATTCCAGGAATAGCAGCAGGCCTGGTGATTCCTGCCATCATGAGCGCCTTCAACTCCTACTTCGACAAGAAGATGAACTTTGTGATGAGCGGAGCGCAGTCTTTTATGGTGGCCTTTAACAGCTGCGTGCCTCCATTAGCGGCTTGGAGTATGACCACCTTCGGGTTCAGGTAAGCAAGTGGCGAGGTAGCCGATCCGAGAAGTAACCAAAGTCCTTTTAGAGGCACCTTGATTGGGCTGGCGCTTATGAGCTGTTTGAGTATTCCGGCCGCTTGCACGCTGCATCCAGTGGAAAGATACCTGAAGAAAGTCCCGGTGGATCGAACCGGCACTGGTAAGTAACGCGGATGGTTCTTGAAAATAATCGGCAATTTTCAACTGTTTCCGAGATTCGGGTGTTTTGAACTTTGACTGCTTAGCCCCAAAATTTAGAGTCTTTTACTTCCAGCTCTTTACAGGTTAGGAATTTCTAAGGGAACCTAATAAGGCCAAGGCATTTCTAGAGAAGTTTCATCAAAAAGGTCCTCACGATTGTTTAAATATATTCAACCACTTCCGAGAAATATGTCAGCAAAAATGTTCTAAAATTCACTAAAATTCAATAGATGGTGGGTCTAACTATTCCGATAATTCAGATCATCAGGCGAAAAAGTCCACTTACCACTGTTTCTCTTCCATGAATCCTCATCTATCCCCCATTGCTTCCAGTTATCATCATGGAGGAGCTGGCAGAATCCAAAAACGCCAATACGGAAACTTCCCAAGCCGAGCCGCTGATGGTCCAGGAAACTCCTCTCAGTGCCAGCCAAAAGAGCCTGCAGGCGCCCCATTTAAACCGGCGCACATCTGCTGTATCTCTAGGCGGTCGCATCGCTTCAGTTGCCACGCTAGATGAACCGCACGCGTCCCATCCCGATTTATGGAAAGTAACAGTGTTTTTCACCAATTAGCCTGAATAATGTCCGATTTTTTCAGGAGGTCGTTCGTTCGCTCCATCGACTTGTCCCTGCTGAAAAGCGCCAAATACGTGAACATCAGCGTGGGCTTGGGACTGTGCTTCGCGGGCGACATAACGTTCATCTCAATAGCGCCGATGATTTTGGGAAACCTTGGCTTCAGCACCCAGCAGATCGGCACGATGATGGCCGTGTTCTTCGGGTGCGACTTTGCGGCCAGAATATTGCTGACCGTCATTTCCTCAGTGGTGCGCTTTAGGAACCGAGTTCTCTTCCTGTTTGCTGCTGGTTTAACTGTGATGGCCCGAACTGGTAAGTACACTAAACTGTCGTTTTTCGCGAATAAATTCGGCGTTTTTGACCCTAAATTGTTACGCGATTTTCAGGCTTGGTCTTGCAAGACGGCTACATATGGAAGCTGGTGTTTTTGGGAATCATCGGCTTCTTGCGCTGCTTCATCCACACCCCCATTCCGCTGGTGCTAGCCGAAGAGTACCCTCAAAAGTTTTCCAGCGCTTTTTCGCTCTCGATGGCGGTCAGCGGCTCCGTGATGATGTTTCTTTCACTGATAATCGGTAAGTTTAAACTGGCTATCATTGGGCAGGAGGATTTGATAATTTTTACTATTGTTTTCAGGTGTATCCAATAAGGTTCTGCAGAGCGACATTTTTCTCTGCCATCTACTCACGCTGGCCTATGTCGCTTGCGTCGTTTCTTGGACAATTGAGCTCACGTGCTGCAGACGAACCAAAACAGAAGACCCGCAGTGAAGAAACGCCTTTTTTGTATATAATAGTTGATAAAAATCCAAATTTCTGCTTAAACTCTGACGTTTGTCAAGAAAATTTGAATCGGTGATTCATGGAAATACTGTCAATGAGCTAGTCAGTGTTGCCGCTCCGCACTAAAAGCAGCATGGGTGTGGCTATCCAAGCTTGACTACTCCTGATCTCTGTTCATGTTTGCGAACTCAGAAAGGGGAATCAAAAACTTCAAAGTCAACTTTTTTGAAATTTAGTTAGTAACGCCTGGACGTCTGATTATGGCGAAACTCATCAAAGTTTGGGAAAATCCAATAAATCCAATCTTAAATCACTATGTCTGTTTATTTAATATTTTTAAAATCAATATTAAATATCATATTTTTTATCAATTTTCCAAAAACTATCCAAAACTAGCGTTGTTTAAATACGAACTCAAATATTTCCAACTAGAACCAGCGCCCAACTGTGCAGCTGACATAGACTTTGCTGTCAATTTTTGGCAATTTCAATTTCTCCAATGTTATCATCTAAATTTTCCGTGATAAAATCGCCCCCTTAACCCAGTGACAGTGTGAAGTGCCCCCCTAATCCAATCCCCCAATTAGTGATGCACTGACAGTGAATGAGCAGTGCCAATTATTCCCAATCCCATGAATTCTAATGTGCTGGCCCAGATGGGGCCCCGCAGGTACCGCGGTGGCCTCCACTGCGACAAAGACGCCCTGACCGACATGTTCGGGTGGTTCCTGCAGGTGCTGCTGGCCGGGCTGGCATTCACCTGTCTCATAGCCAAACGGTAAGCCCCGGAACCTGGACTTTGAGTTTTCTAACATCAGGTGTGGGTTGCAGGTTTTGCGAGCCTCGCATGCACCGCAGATCGTGGCAAATCTGGTTCTACGACACCTCCAAGCAGGGAATGGGGGCCATGGCGATCCATCTGGCCAATGTGTGGCTCGCTGGTCAGTATCAAGGCGATCCCTGCACTTGGTACTTGATAAACTTCCTACTGGGTGAGTGGGACAGGGCCTTTTAGGGCAGCGCTTGATAGTTTGAGCCCACGTTGCAGACTCTTCAATGGGGCTTTTGATCATTTTCGTGGGTATCCGGACTTGTCAGCACCTATCGCGACGGAAAGGCTGGGATGCGATTAACTTTGGGGAGTATGGCAAGCCTCCCAATGTCAACGCATGGCTGGCGCAGTGCTGTCTCTATGTGGGGCTCATGATTATCGTCAAAGTCTCCATCACGCTGTTCATGCAGCTGAACTTCTGGGAGAACGTCAAGGACTTTATATTGAGCCCCATTGACAATCCCAAGGTAGAGCTGGCCTTTGTGATGCTGATTATTCCGTTTTTTGTCAATGTGAGTTAATGCGTGGGAATTTTTCGGCTTGTTTTTAAGAAACCCTATTCCAGATGTTGATGTTCTGGGTAACAGACAATTTCCTGATGTACCGGGACCCAGCGAAGCGCCGACGCGACAGTTCAGAGGTGAGCTTGCTGGAAAAGGCCAAAGTCAAGTACCGGAGCCTCAGAAAGAAAAAGTCGGACTCAGAAAGCGACATTCTGCTCTCTGGTGAGTAGCCAGGCTATTTCAGGCCTTCTAAGTGTAACATGTGTTTTTTGTAGCTGACGACGAGTTGCTGGACGCTGAGCATGGGCCGTTTGTAGGCGCAGCAGTACACGCGTAGCTCTGAAGCTGAAACATGTGACAAATCGGAAAAACGACACTGATTGCGTTCGACTCTCTGGATTCAAGTGCGTTGAGCTCAGGTGAGCGGATCGTCCAAGCCACTTAAGGGCGCGAGTATAGACAATGTCCCCGATACTCAGGTTGTTGCTAAATTCAAGTTTTTTTTTGGACGCCCTATTGCGTCGGTTTTCAGTGAAGTTCTTGTGATTATCGTTACCGATATCGTCAAAGTGATATCACCCAGTAGGTTAGAGGAAAAAGGCTGTACATTTTTTGAGTTAGTTACTATACGAGATTAGCGGGAAGCGGGCGTATTTGCCGGGTCGGCTTTTACATATCACTTTTTACACAGGGTAGGTTTTTGGGCAACAAACGCGAGAAAATTGGGGCAAATTCGAATTGTTCTTGACCAACAGTCTACACTGATCCCATCCCGGTACAAAGAGATTCTTTATATTCTTCTAGGTTTGTAAACATTCTTCGAGGTTTGTTTCTAAAAAAATGAAAAATGTGCATGCGTTTTTTTCAGTTCACTGCCTTTGACCTAAAAAGCTTCCCAACTATGCATTTTTTGCTGAAACATCCATCCCAACCCTTCCGATATTTACTTGTACTCGCGCGAAAAGATGTTAATTGAAATTAATTAACGGAGATACTTGCTAAGGGGTGTCAATCTCTGGATGTTTTTACAAGAGGAGAAAGGCAAATGGGAATACGGATTTACTCTTAAAGCATCGGATTTATTTCTAAACATTTCTAGCTACTGATCTTATACATATGTACTTACATGTACTGGATTCGGGGAGAATCCAGTACAAAGGCCGAGTGAAAAGTGGTTGGTGTCTTAAAAAGACTCGACGGAAAATCACTTGAACAGACGCTTGTAAATGTAATTGGCTAACCACATGCAGCCCGTCAGGAAGTTTAGGAGTGCCATCATACGGAAAATTTGCTTCAAACTTGAATCTGAAACATTTCCATTAAATTATCAGCTATCGCGATTGGGTACATTGGACGTGAGCTCACCAACAAGAACGAAGAACAGAAGCGTTATTCCTGTTAATAGGCAGATTAGCGTAAACTCTTTAGTCGCTTCTCCTTTCACGGTCATGCAGAGTAACGGCGTGGCGACGTGCTCCAGAGCGGCAATGCTTAGGACAATTTGAACAGCCCCGAAAATGAGCAGACCTTCACTCACATAGTCTGAAACCACTACGGAAGTTGTTAAAGGGTTAGTGAATTCAGAGGTTGTCCGAATGTCCAAAGTGGCGTACTAAAGTATCCGATAGCGCCGATCCAACTGAGGATCCAAATGGTTTTGGGGCGCCACTTTTTTTCAATATTGATCCAGTATGCCACTGCGGAAAATAAAAACGTAGCCAAAGATATGGTACCGACTAAATTTGCCAGATGTGATAGTCGGATCTCTTTCACTTCCTGAAATAAAGCAGGGCACAGAACAATATGGAAATTGAAACATTTCCTTGAGATTACCTGAAATAAGAAGCTCGGGTACAAAGAGAAGAACACAAATAAGGACCACTTTGTAGTCATGACAGTGAGAAAGGATTTGTAAAAGGTGGGCTCACGCAGAAGTTCAAGTGCGCTCCGAATATCTACTATAAATGAGTGGTTTGTTCCAGAATTAACTGGAATTGGAACGAAAATCGAAAATTTTGAAGCATCTGGGCCATCCTCAGCCAGGTCGTACGAGAAGTTGCTGTTATTGGGCAGGCTGTCCGAGTATAGAGGCATCGGCGTACTGTTAATGGAGTTTTCGGTAAGAATGATTAAAAGAATTGTTAATAATTGATTTACCGTGTGATTGTGGTGGAGTCCATTGCTGGCCTGCTCTCTGATGGTTCTCGTGTGGTTCCAAACGACATTTCTAATTGCAGATTTTTGTTGTTGCGTGATCCAGGTTCATCCTCGAAAGTCTGCCACTGCTTATACTGAAGTTGATATAAAGATCGTCAACTGGAATAGATACAGAATACCTGTTTGTCTGCAATCGTTTCGTCAGCAACACCTGCTGGCTCAGTGGTTTCATCCCAATTTTCAACTCGCTGATATTTCGTGGTTTCTTCGCCATCGTCATCAAACGTTTCCCAGTTCTTGGTGGCTTGGTTTTCAATGTTTGCCCTCTGCTCGTTTTTGCCTTCTTCGTTGTGCCCACTGAGAAAAATGCCCCATTTCGGTGTTAATGTGTCAGTAAATTAAATTTAACTTACTGATGTTCGTCGTTTGATTGTGTGCCGGACAACTCCTCAGTACGAATTTGAGCTCCGTGTTGACTCTGTACAGAGATTTGCAATTCGCGCGAGTTCTTCGAAAATATATCCTCCTCATCATCGGGGTGTGTCTAAATAATGGCAACAATCAATTTCCTCGAACCCAAAACACTTTCAACCAACCTACCGTTACATAGTCATAACTGTTGACGATTTTTGACTTCAAGTACATCGGCTTGCGAAGGAACAAATTTAGTACTATTCCCTGAAAAATTTAGCTCGTTGCAACTGATAGTCGATGATTTTATGCATATCTCTTAGGAGAAACAAGCTTACTTGTAAAATGACGGCCTGATACCACAATATCACTTGCGTTTCACTATTTATTAGTAAATGATGCCCTAGAACGATGGGCGCTAGAATGAATCCAAGCGCGGATGTAGCGTGGCTTAAATGATTTAAGATCGGCAATTTTAGCCGAAAATATTGTGCGATAATAATTTGACATTGGGCCATTTGAATCGAAGCACCCAAACCTGAAAAGCCAACAATTCATGTCTCCTGGAAATACAGGGTGGCTGATATGAATGTCCCCTAATAACATACAGGGTGATTCAAAATTGGTTGTTCCTTCTAAGGGGTAATCGGGGCTCATTTGGAGAGTAGAGTGGATAATTTTGAGAAGAAATTAGCAGTTGAAAATCGCATTTCAACTTTGTTATTAAGCATTATTTTGAAATTGTTCCATGTTTAAGTGGTAGCATTTTGGATTACTTACGCAATCAAAAAGAAAAATTACGATCTTTGGTTCAAATTACGAACATTTTTGACATTAAAAAAGTTCTCTTCCACAATTTTTTGATGAAAAGTCAAAGCGGCAATGATGTTTTCTGTCATCAACAGACAGTTACAGGTGTATAGCCCTTGTCAAGAATAACAATAATTTGTCAAACTGTGACTTACTTTGAAGCTCCTTTCACGAAATTACGGATATGCGATTAGTTCAGGGGAAATGCCACAGTAACATAGCAGAAGCTGTAAGAACTGACGCCAACAAAGGGCTAGAGATACTGAAGATTCGCTCCAGGAAAATAGTGGACGACGACGTGGAGAGCATTGCACAACTGACACTTTCCCAGGCTCCAAATAAATACCGAGAAAGGGCTACATTCCCACCACGTATGTAAGACAAACAGAGCACAAGGACACATTAAACCAATCGCATACTGAACACCGGCACAAATTGAGCAGGAGTTAATTAACCGAATACGAGAAGCTGCTCGAGAAGAGTGGATAATAAGGTGATTACACCTGCACTAACATGTTTGGAGTTAATGTTTAATCTTTGTCTATTTTATTGCCACTTTCTCTAAAATTCCATGGTTACCGGAGTTTTTAATAATTAAAAAAAATAAATAAAAACGGAGCAACTGGTTTTAACGTAATGTTAATTAGACAGATTACCTTGAAGAACATTGTTGCCGTCTTTCTAATATAGTTTTTTGCGATTTTCTCCGATTTTAATAACAATTATTATATTTTACTATTTTTTCTGTACTCCTGCAATGACACCAATTTTGAATCACCCTGTATAATGATAGTTGCGTAGTTGCTTACCCGATAGGATGCCGCTTAGAATAAAGAGCCACGATTGGTTGTTCCCAGTGATGCCCATCCATAAAAAAAGAAGTCCAGCACATATGAAGCAGGTGCCAGCGGTTGCAAATAACTTGGGCCATTTACTGTGAGTGATAAATTGACGACTAGCCGGCTCTAACATAAAGACAAACAGTCAGGTACACACCTGCACAGCTTTTATATGTAGTAATTCACCCCATACAGTCCAAGACGCAATAAAGAATAGAGGCGTGTGCAAAATGGAGTTGTCCCACAACTTCAATGTGCCACCATTCGCTTCCGCTGACTTCATACTAACAAAGGGGAGTAAAATGCCGAAGCTTGCCAACAAGCTGGGGATCAGTAGCTGCCAATAAATAAACAATTGCATTAGATGTTAGTGTACAACATAACAATAAGTAATGAAACTAATGGGTTTTTCGAGTTTTTAGGCCGTTGTAAAATGGAATTTCTTCCTGACGTTTCGCAAGCACGAGTGGCTTGCATCTTCAGAGGTGGTTGCTCGAACGCTTACACTGTTCTAATGCGATTCCTCGGGCGCAGTCGGTATTGATGCACCAGTTGCTCTTCCGGTGTAGTGAATTCTCTCTCCTGTCCTCAGCTGTTTTTGGGTTGGTGAGTGCTGGAAACCATATCCTGTTTAGCACCATTCTTCTTCTTAATGTGCCATCTCCACCAGTGGAGGTTGGATATCACAGTAGCAAATTCTTCTCGGTCTTCGGCTGCTTTTGTAAGTTCTTCAAAGTCCCGGCCAGTCTCTGCCATAAGAACCGTGGACTCGGAAGAAAGAAAATGTTCTTTCTTCC